GCAATCAATGCAAGGCTAAAAGTACGAAACTAGACTCGTAACCGGTTCTAATGCACATATTTGATAATTTTTGGATTTATATCCAGAGAGAAAACACTCCCGAATTTACTGTTCGACTGGTTTCCTAGACAGATTTGAATACCTCAATTTATGGATTTTGACTCCCAAAAATTATAAAAAAATTCAGATATGCAACTTAATATGTAATTGATCTACTTTAAAAATTTCAGTTCAAAATTCATCCGTTTGATAGTTTTCTTGATTTTTAAAGTTTGATTCTGTGCAGAATTTTTGAACTAAAAATTACACCCAATCTTTACACATAAATTTAGCTCCTCAAGTTTCTTATAGGATATCTATATACACAATACATAAACCACACATCTCCATCAAATGAATAAAATAATAATGGAATAAGGATGAAGAACAAAAGAAAGAGAGAAGAAAACCTAGGAGGCACACCAGCACAACACACCCAAAGCTCTCCTTCTGGCTACAACAATAATCTTGATGATTGAAAAATCCCCTCTTTCCTTCATAAACCCACGGCTGCAGGGCGCTGTGTTGTGGAAAACAATTATAACAAGAGTTAGGGTTTTGTTTATTTTATTTATACTAGTGGTGGGCACACTTAGGTCAAATAGATAGATAAATATACAAAATATATATATAAGTTATATGCAACTCAAATGGTAGGAGTCTTATATATTAACCTTGTGATTCTAGAGTTCAAGTCACCCCCTCCTCTCTCTATTTTTCTTTTTTTTTTTTTTATAATAAACCTTGTCTCTAAATTAAAGACTTTCACCATAAATTTATTTTAGGTTTAAATTAATTAAAAGATCCTCCAATAATATTTAATTTGCACCTTAGAATTCACCACCAAAATATTTGAGATTGTAATATTATTATTTAATTATTTACTTAATTTTTATATTCGGGTTCTCACAGATATTGAAGCAATCAGTATACATTGAAGTCATGTGTGGAGACCATGACTGCGGTCACAAACTGTCGCACAGCTTCAGAGTAGGACAAATGAGGTGTATCAGTTAAACGCCCAATCTGGCTCTGCTCCAGCGTATGTATAAGGATGCGCGAGCCAGAGATATGTGTGCTAAAGGCGGAAAACAAGGAGCTGAGGCGGAACGCCACCGTTATGTTCCGATACAAAGGTCCGCCATATGTTGCGGTGGAGGAGATAGGGGGGAGTGAACGGGCCGGCGGCGTGGGAAACACGGAGGAAGCACTGTTAAGGGCTGCCCAGGACGGAGGCAAAAGAAGAGACCAGGACAGAGTAGAGAAGGGAAAAGAAAAATCCTTTGTTGTTGTTGGTTGTTTTTTTTTTTTTTTTTTTTTTTTTTGTTTTGGTGTGCAATTTTTTTTTTTTTGACTCATACCCATGTTCTCCGGATGGAAGGCTAAACAGAGAGGTAGTGTGAGAAAATAAGTAATAAAAAGAAAATAAAGTTGAAGAGAAAGTGTGTGAATAAAGTTGAAGATAAAAATAAAAAGAAAAGGTGAGATCAAATTTGTTTGGGCGGTCCTACCAACTAATGAAAGTAAGTGATGGTGTGCAAACCATTTTGTGTTTCGTTTTCTTTTCAAAGGATGGAGTAAAATATATAAAAAAAAAAAGGAAAGAAAGGTGAGTGGGGAACATGAGTGAGGAAAGATGAAAAAAGAAAAAGTAATGGGTTGGAGAATCTGAGCATCGGAGAAGAGGAGAGAAGAGGAAGTGGAGACCATGATGACATATATAGGGCTTGATTGAAATGAGGTTCAGGACTCAGATTTAACAGTTCCGGCGAACGATTCTCGAGGAAGTTGTTCGAGAACCACAACGAGTCATCGACGAAGTCGAGCCCATTCTAGCTCAGCTACAACATCACTAGGGACGCAGAGGTCGTCGGTGAAATCAGTGTACTGATGGGATTGGGAGCATGCTGTGTTTGAGGAAGTGAGGTGGTGGTGTTTGGTTGTGTAAACGAACGGTGAACGTGACGCTATGTTCACAGGTAACACTTATGTTCACAGGTATGAAAGTGACGCTACCACCAGACAACTACTTGATCCACTACCACAGCAGGAAGCATCACATGTCAAGCCATGGCAGCATGCCTGACATGTCAACCCAGTCTCAATGTCATTGCCAAAGATGCAGCACAAAACCAGACTTCACGGGGGTGCGAAGGAGGATCTCGCTCAAGGCATCGTCGTTGCCAGCGATTGCGTGGGCTGATGATGGCGGCGACCCTAGTCGGCTTTCGCGGGTTTTGAACCTTGGTAGATCGGCTATGGCAACACTTACCGGAGCGACGGAGAAGGTGACGATCTTAGCTCCACCGCCGGCTTGTCGTCAAGCTTCTCTGGTCTGAGATTGTGAGTGTGAGGAGGGAATCCTCTGCGTCGGAGTGTTCGGTAGAGTGGGTCTGGAAGCTAGGGTCCCATAGGTTAAGGTACATTTGGCAAAGACATGTATTCAAATGGATGATGGTGATGATGCTTTGAATCTTGAAGGTGAAGTTCTGCCATGGAATTTGTTAGAAACTAACTGCAGCAGCAACAAAAGAAGATCAAGATCAAGAAGAGAATTGTGGCAGCGGAGTGAAGGTATGTGTAGAGGTCCCGGCGGCGCAAGGGAGACTGCCACCACCGGTGAAGCAGAATGACTAGGTCCTTACCTAGCTCTGATACCTGTTAGATTCAATGTATAAAGAAAGGAGAGAATAAATTATGTGTATTCAATGATATTAATTTATGTAATGTTATTGTTCAGTGGCTCCTTATATAGGTGAAGGTACAGACAATACATGTTTGAGCTCATGATGGAAAGTGAAGCACTGCACCGAAAGGGAGGCTCACTATCTACTAATATATTATATACTCTAACAAATTTTTGTGTGTGTGTGTGTGAGAGAGAGAGAGAGAGATAAGTAAATGAAGTATTACTTCTATATTGACTCTAAGATAGATTGGTAAAATAAAGAAGGAATATATCATCCTATGACATTTGGCTATCTAATTTCAACATGATTTGACTAGTAAATTCGTTATTGAGGCTTGAAACATGAATCTACAAAAGTAGAGCCTTTGAAGCATAAATGTGTCTCTATGTCACTTTGCTTAGCCGTTCCAATTGTTGATCCTCTAGTTAAGGATCAAAACCTCTAAATCTGTATTCATATTCTTTTTATCTACCTAATAATTGACATTCTAAAATAGATATCTGAGCATCACCAGTCAAGAGCGTATCCACACAAGAATATCAACCTTCCCCAAATCAAACTCCCCTTGACACATGTTCAAAACTTTCACACCTGCAAGAACAACATCACATAAGTTTTGGATAAAGAACAAAAATTAATAGTAAAATACTTTTAACAGGTTTACCTTTTTTTAAAAAAAAAATCACTAAATCCTTCAAACGGAGTTACAATTTGAAGCCAAAATACTTCGAATCACATATGTACATAATAAGAAAGGGAAGTAACATGTAAGGGAAGACAAGAACCCCATTTGATAAACACACCTGATTCCATAGTTTTTCAAGAAGCAGTAGAAAATATCATAACATAATTCAAAAGGTACCAATATATCTAATCCAGCACCAAGGTGACCAAGCAAAGAATATTCACTTAAAATGTGAACAAGAAAGGGATATTAAATTAACTAGTAAAATATGAGGCACTAAATTAAAAAGCAAATCTATATCACTTAGAACAAAACGCTTAGCAATTCACTATCATGCTTATAGTACTTCACATCATGTGCACCTAGATTTTGGAAACAAGTCAGGAAGGGTTCAGATGATAAAAAACTATTTTATTAACTTTAGGCTGCCATTGAGTTTCATCATGGTGGAATAGATGACCCATAAACATTAGCATCAAGTAGCCAACATTAAATTGACACCTTATTGACAAAGTTCCATGATAAATTAACAGGAAATATCCCACAGAAATATACCAAAAGGTACATTTCATCTTAAGTACAAAATTTTTAGAAGGCACTTCACCCAAATCAATAATCAAAGCACTTCGCTCAAAATACATTAAACATTGCAAAGATGTTTATATGGAAATATGGAAAGGATAGTATTAGTTCCTCTGATACAGAGATAGAGAAAGTTTAAGATATTGTTATTTTAACATGCTCATAATTTTCCACTTTAAACTCCTTGCTTGCGCTTGAGTTAAATCTCGAATGGATAATGGACATCATAAACTTTGTATAAGTAGCCACACAACTACATTTCTCTCCAAAGACTTACATGTATAATCCCCAAAACTATCCAAAATAAATAACACAATCAAACAAGAGAATATCATAAAAAAAGGGGGAATCTAAAAATTCTCTCTAATGATGGTATCATGAACTTAAATGTTAACTAAAACACTCCATGAACGAATAGTTTTTTGTTCTTTTCCACTGAATACTGTTTCCAATCTAATAATTTTTCTGGCTCGATCCATATCAGTGTCAAATTCATAATCACTGTATATAAGATAGCTCTCTTTGATGACTTTAATAGTATAGAGTTTAATTCAATGCATGACCTTTTTAATTAAAAGTTACGGTAATATGCAGAAATGAAGCATTTAAATGTACAAATCCTATGTGAAATGTTTGAGAAACTATAAACAACCGAACATGACTACCCTCCAACAGATACCCATATTATAGAATGTCAAATGATTAAGATCGGAACTCCGAGATTGATTGTGAATATGTTTTTCTAATTATCTTTCCTTATAATTTTTTTGATCTCTGTATGGAACCATGCATAGCATATGAACAATGGAAATTGTTGGCACTGCAATGGAACAAGACAATTGGCCTACAACCACTCCCATTCTAAAAAAAACAAAAAAAAAAAAAAAAACAATCCTACTGAAAACATTCCATGTCCAAATATTATT